AGCAGTATAGGAAACAGCTAGGCACCCAGGGCAAATTGGAAGTGGTGACTTCTAGTTCATAACTGTGAATGCATGGCTGCCAGAAGCAGCCACTTTTTTTTGCACCCTCCCCACAATTTAGCACTGAGGGAAGTTGCCCCTGTCTCCCCCAACTAGTTACACTGCACATTCCTGCTTCTTCCTGAATTCAAGGACAGCAATGATGGTATTTATCTTCAAACCAAACTAGATGGAGGCTTGTTCATTGCAAGATTTAGTGCAAAAACCAAGGTGAAAGAACTGGTTCTGAGAGATTTCCTGTTTGTGGATGATGCAGCCTTGTTTGCTCACTGTGAATCTTCCCTGCAAATCTCTTGGGCAGATTTTTCTAAATCATGCAAGAGCTTCAGGATGGCAATTAGTCTCAAGAAGACTGTGATAATGGGGTGAAAGAACCAATACCTGACATCACTCTGAAGGATAAATCTCTTGTCATTAACAGTTTTTGCTACTTGGGTTCTATGATCAGCAGGAATCTTGACCTTCAGACTGAACTGACTAACAGAATCAGAAAAGCAGGTAAGAATGTCAGACTATTACAGAAACATGCATGGAATAACAGCAAACTATCAGCTAAGGTGAAGATGTGAATCTATAAGACTTATATGCTGTCTTCCTTGCTTTATGGTTCAGAAACATGGATTACACATGCTAGGCACATCAATAGACTGAACAGCTTCCACATGAGCTGTCTGCATAAGATCCTAAAAAGAAAGTGGGAAGACAGAATACCAAGTACAGAGGTACTAGAGTGTGCAGGACTAGCACATTTCGAAACCACTATCAGGAAGAGGAGGTTGCGATGGTTTGGCCATGTTGGGAGAATGGGAGAAGACCATATCCACAAGAATATTTTGGATAGTGAGATTTGAGATGGCTTTAGAAATCAGGGTTGCCCTCTTGGTGATAACACAGTGTGTGCAAAAATTATATGAAGTCATTCAACATCAACATAGAAAGTTGGAGGAGCACACAAAATTCTGTCCTATCTGGAGGGAACACTCAGCACTGGGTGCAGCTCATCATGAAATGGCTTTGATCCAGAGGATGGAAACAAAATGAGAAAGAAGAAAGCAGCATGCTCTAAATTTGGACTCCAACTCAGATAACATATAGATCTGTGAAACTTGTAACAAGCTGTGTCACTTCCAAATTGGGCTTCTCAGCCACACATGGATTCATAAGGCATCTGACTAGACCTCTTACATGTACACCATGAGCCAGAGGATTGATAGTAGGGGTGTGTGAAACAGGCCGTATTCAATTCAGATTCAGCCCAAATTGGGGCACGGTGATTCAATTACTTGATTCAGATCACTGTCCCAATTTGATTCAGCTGAATCCAAATCTGAAGATTTGATGCTGATTCCGAGAATCAATGATTCGGCCATAGAGACAACTTTAAATGTTTTATCTACATACCTTGAGGTACCAGGCGCGGCTCGTGAATACTGATGTGGGGCAGATGGAACATCCCACCAGAGCATGGGGTGCCCTCCGCATACTCGGCGGTGGACCCCCCCTCCCCCCGTGTCCTCCTGGCTCAGCAATCGGCCATGGTGAGACCCCGGGTACCCCTCCAGACACAGGAGGCACCAGTCACCAAGCTGGGGGCGGGGGGGCAGGCCTGTGTGCTCTGCAGTGGACCTGAATGTGGACCAGAAGTGCTTCAGGTCCACTTCTGAATGTGCTGAGGATCTCCCCATGCTCCCATGGGATGCTCCATCTTCCCCAGCATCTCAGTTATCACGAGCCGCCTGGTACCTTGAGGTATGCAGAAAAAACATCTAAATCTGTGTCTATATCCGAATAATCGAATCTCTCTGAATCAATTCAGAGGGTTCTGACTTGATTCAGAGAGATTAAAGGGTCTCCTGATTCGATTTGGATTTGGAGATTTGGTCACCAAATTGGGCCAAATCTCCACTGAATCGAATCAGCAACCGAAGCTTCGCATAGCCCTAACTGATAGTTGCTTACTAAGTTACACCACTGCAAATTCTTATAATTAAGCATCTAAATTCATGTATAATCTAAATTATTTTATATGTCCGAGATTATTCATTTTCTTTTTAATCTTAGCACAATATGCATTCTGTTAATAATCCAAAAAGTTCAAGTACTGATTACCCTATAAATTGGAGGGGGGCCAGTGGGAAGAGAGGAGGGAAACACACCCTTCATCTAATTGACCTGAATTCAATTATGCATTTATACTATTAGTTATACTATTAATTACACATTTTATATGCCTAATAAAAATAACACAGTCCCAATTATGAGCAGTTACCTTGGCCTCTGTTTCAATTGCAATATATATTATTGCATTTTGTGATCAATATATATATTTTACTAAAAATATCAATAAGTTATAGATCTGTTTTGTATGTGGGAAATATAGAAAGATAAGTGTTTGGCATAGATATAATTTAATTAAGATATTAAAATAATTCAAATAAAGAGATATGTATATATTTGCTTTCAATATTAGATGCTCTTTAAAATTTACATTAGATGAAGATAACAAAGTTACTCTCAATATTTATTCCCTTTTATCTATAAGTACAAAGGATGCTACAGACAGGAAATAACTGATCTAGGTATTGGAAAAATGTCAGGCATAGTGAATGCATATCTAATGTTCTAATCAGGAAATAATGATTTATGAGCCTAATTTAAGGTTTGGAAATGTCACTCCATGTGTTTTTATTAATCATTAGTACTTTAAGTGGTTTTGAAAGGTGTCCATTTCATAACTTCATAATGTAAGTTCAATGCTGAAATGGTCCAATTACAGATGTCAGTTGTGATCTTTGTGTGTGCTGCCCAGGTATGCCAAGGCTGTTTTTTATACAGGGGAAATACGAGGGAAAAATCTCAGTTGGTGTAATCCCATTTACTTTAATGAACAACAGTCCCAAAACTTGTATTAATTATATGGACCATAATGTTGCAGGAGACAGGGTATTTGATTCCTTTATTTCACTAGTGCCTTGTCCTGCCTCACACAATTAGAATCTATATTTCATGAGACGTTTCTCTTCCTAAACTATGTTTTGACTGACATACTTTCTCTTCTCCCCAAATTTTGTAAAGAGAACTAGACTTCATTTGCATTACCACAGAATGCCGGATAGGATTCATTTAGACTACTTGAGCATCCATTTAGACTACTTGGGCCTATTTTTTGAGAATTTTTTGTCAGATGCCTGTGCCCACAAGGCACAGAATTTGGCCAAATGAACTTATCCTTCAGATAACATTTGTGGATCCATATACTGAAGAAGAAAGCAAAAAAGCTCTTTTTTGACTCACTACAATTACCATTAATGAGGTTACCATTTTCAACCTGTCATATTTTTCATTTGGCAAATCTTATAGCTTCTCCCCAATTTGCTTACAAACCTGTTTTTAAAGAAAACTTAAATAATTTTAGCCCCAAATATAGATCTAAGGAAATCCTCCATTTATTTGTAATGGTTTTAAATGTTTATTTACAAATGGTTTTATTTGTAATGGTTTAAAAAAAATGAATAAAGATAATAACTTACTGCTTTCTACTTTTAAGCTTGAATTATTGTTAACTTGAAGTTTTAAAAGGAAAAGTGTTTTAGCAGTTTGGGAAAATTAGGTCTCACCCAGTAATCTTTGCTTAGACTGCAAGTCCTGATGCTTGGGATCTGTAATAAAGTGTTACAGTTTTGAAAATTAAAAGGAGATTTTGGTTTAAAGACTTTCTCCTAAACATGAGGCATAACTGCTTTTTATTAGACTTCTTAATGATATTTTTTTCAAATATAGCAGATAGAGACCACATGCGTTAAAATGTCTAAAAAATATACCTAGATAATATTTCATAATGGCAAAAGCACCCTTATGATCTGCCAGATAAGTGAGACAACATTTTTTAAACTCTCTGTCTAAATATTTACAGAACAGTCTGACAGATGCTAAATGGCAAATGGTGATAGAAAGAAAATAAAAATATGTGTGACTTAAAAAAACCTTTTGTTACAAGGCAACAAAGGATTAAGTATCTCAGGTTGATAACAATCACAGTGTATTGTAAGTACCTGAGCTTCTCTTGGTCCCTAGATATTCACATCAAAGAGACTGCTAGAAGGATGTCCCCAGCAAACAGGCCTCTGGATAATACTACTTCCATTAGTCAAGCTAAACCAGGGCATGTTGGACCTTAAAGGCAAGATCTATCTGATTTTATCACCATTCTCTTAATGTAGATGAGACATCAAGAAAGAGTAGCTTAGATTTTATTTGATGTCTTGGGTTAAAAGCCATTTATTGTGCCTCATTTTGTATATGACCCTAAGGCTTTTATTCTTTGAGGCTGTTTATAAATAAACTAGAAGGCCAGATCCTTGACCTGGGGAATTTGGGGATGCTCCATTTGCTTTAATAGAGGCATACATTTATATAATGAACTAATGAAGCTGTTACATCTTGAGTACAGTTATGAAAGAAGAGACAGAATTGAAATCCTTATTTAATAGTTTATAGGTAAAAATCAACATGGGTTTTAGAAATAAAACATCCTTCCTTTTACCTATTTTACTCTCTTTTGAAAGTAGTGTTTGGATGTAAGTTATATTTATTGCTCTACTGCTTAAAATAGATTTTTAAAAATTACTTTTGAAGTTTTAAATACACCTTTATTTTCCACTCGAGAGTTTGTTTTGAGTATTTTTCTTTTTTTTAGTATGACTTAATTAATACATATCATAATGACATCTTCATTTATGATGTGCCAGAAAGCTCTGTAAAGACAAAATTCTGAGATTTCTGTTATGTATTTTATGTGTACATATTATCATTCAAAATTTAACTTTAGGTAACCAACCTGAGTTCACAGAGAAAAAGTATAGATTTGCTAGGGGCTTTCAAGTAATCTTTAGCTGCATCTTTACTTAATTACGCTTTCTTTTTTTTATGCCTGGTAACAGCGGCACCAAACTGGTCACTTCAAGTGGAGACACTACAGTACGGATATGGGACTTCTCAAAGGGTGAATGCATCCTGACTTTAGAAGGGCATGCCAGTGCAGTCTGGGGCTGCTCATGGCACTCCTGTGGAGATTTTGTGGCTTCTGCCTCCATGGACAACACTAGCAAAATATGGGACATTAACAGGTATGTAGTTATTAAGCTATTTAGCCAATTGATAATTGCAATTAATAGCAAAATGTGGTGTGCTTTAATCCAATTAAAGAAATAAAAAGTTGGGTCCCCTTCCTGTAAAGCACAATTTATATGCCTATGTGTTTTGCTAACTCAGGGCTTCAGTAAGGAGATATTCAAATGCAGTAATAGAAAGTATATATAAAGCTCATGCATAATTGGAAAATATAACTTGATACCTTCTCATCAGATTTAAAGGGCCATTTTCATGGTTATCAACTGAGTGTCCCATCATTGTACTTAACCCCTAGAATCACATGGCTTTTATCCCAGCTTGGCATCTGAATAATTTAGAGCAAAACGGTTATGATAAGTAGTGTTCATTCTACGCTGGTGCAGATCTCAGAGATAGGATCAAAATTTTCTAAGGAGAAGCTCTGTTTATTTGCCATAATGGGTGGTTCATTGAGATAATTACCTGGGTATGCTTCTTATGCTGCGGCACATGCATTTGTATAAACAGCAAAATGCATGTCAGTGCTGAGAAAACGGCAGTGTTGCGTTTTTGAACTAAAACACATTGAAGGTGTTTTCATTCAAAAGCACATTGCCACCATTTTCTCAGTGCTGACATGCATTTTGCCATTTATTCAAATTTGTGCAATGCAGTGCCAGGCGCATCAGCTCGTGTGCTCCACAGATTCGATTAATCGAGTCTGCTCTGACACACCAGATCTTTGGAGCAGACAAATGTATGTGTATTAATGCCCAGTGTGTATAAGTGTTCAGTATTTTTCTCCCAGAGCAAAAATGGCTGCTCCAGGAGACAGATAACTCAGAAACAACTAGAGTTAAATCACTCTTGTGAGAGTTTCTCCTTCAAGAGTGAATGTCTGTGCATGCTCTCTTCTGAGGGAAGCCAGAGCATAACCTTCCAGCATCCCAAGGAGCTTTGCTTCTCTCCTCCACCCAGGGAGACTCTGCTGCTCCAGCTGAGCAGGGAGAAAAACATGCCCCCTTCAGAGTCCCGAGACTGATCTGCAGGGAGACACAAGCTGAGTCTGAGCAGTCTGGGTCAGTCCATCAAGGATGCCCTGTGCAGGAAGACTAAGGAAGCCTGCAGATCATGCTGAGATGTGTGCACAAGCACCTTTTGGCTGCACAATATCAGCACTGCAAGCTCTCTGCTCCTCAAGGGCTCAGCATTCAAATGCCTGTTCAGACATTTCCAGGGTGAATTTGTCTACCACAAAAGCAATCCTGGGAGAATTTTCCCAGAATATTTGAACTTGTGTAAGTAACCTTAGCAGACAGCTCTTTCATATTTTTTATTCTCCTTATTCATTATATAACCCTCTGCCTTATTACTGTACACTATTCAAACCCTGCTTCAAAGACAGAATTATTGATTCCTGCAAAGGGCTTTTCAGTACTGCTTCAGCCCTTTCTGAGGTGATCATCCCATATTCTAGATGGGACACTGAAATGCTGTAAGATCAAGGTCAAATTTATCCAAGCTATTTTAGGGTTCCCAAGTTATCTAGGACCTTTTCTTTCACAGCACTGAGCATTATATGGTGTTTGATAATAGATTTGATAACCCTTTTTTAAAGAAGAGTTCTGTCAGAAAATGCCGAGCTAAAATGTCAATTCTATTGAAGCTTTTGATGAAAAGCTAACAGCCTACTTTTCTTCCTGGTCTTCCTTGTAAGCCAACTAATGCATGAGCTGTCAAATTCCCTGTTTTGCTGAGTTCCATAGCTGACCATCTGGTGGGATACTGGGTTCCCAAACTGCCCAAGACCTCTCCTTGCCTACCTGTCAGCATGCCAGCCTTCATAATTTGCCCATCTGTGGGGCAATAGTCTAGTTCCCCACTTGACATACTTCCACAGAGCTGATATCCCTGGGCTTTGAGAGTTTTGACACTTGTAGCTGCCTGCTAAGCTAAGGGAACATGGAAACCAGGGCCCTGAGGGCTGCCAAGCTCCACGGCAGTTTTGACATTTTCCCCAATTTTTTCTCCTGAAAAATACAAAACTTTTAAAGTTCCATCCCAATCTGGGCCAACATTTTTTCTCCCCAAATTTGATACTTATTTTGTTCAGGAAGCTCCCATCAGCTTCACTTGCAGCTTTAAGCGCTCAACAGTTCAACAAATCAGACCCCAACACCTTGTGTCAGGTAATCAGAGACCAGGAAATATGCCATTCATGGCCACCTGTGAGATATTTATAAGTAACTTGCTGTGCATCTTCTAGGAATTTTGTATCAGAGGCAAAGGAAGTGTCTAATTCTTCAGTACTGCATACAATTGTCCCAGCTGTGAGAATGCCCTTTTTTCTCTCTTTGTAATCCCCTGCTTCATTTGCTATGAGAGATAGTTAGAAGTTTTCATCAAAGCAGTTTTCCAATTAATAAAGTAATTTCAATTAAACCTTCTTTTTCTTTTTCATTTTGGAAACATGGAATGATTTTTCTTTTTAAATCAACTTCACTTTACTTATACTTTTTTACATTATTTATTATGTAATTAAGTACTAGCATCATGTGTATATATACAATGGCATGTGTGGACCAGTGGTAAGAGTGAGGCCACTCTCCTTTTTTGTTTCACAGATATTTGCTGTAATATTCAGAAATTCTGGCTTCTATTTTTGGGTCTGGAGAGAAATATAACTGGGGAGTATAGGAGACAGACTTTTCTGTGAACCCTCCTTAATTTTGACCCCTTCTGCCTCATCTCCTCCAGGCTGTTCCCTAATATTTTATTTCTACTCTTGTTTCTGAATCATGGTTTGAGCTTCTTGCACAATATTCATTATTCCATCTCCCAATCAACTTAGTCAATCATTCCATTTTTCCTTTGCCCTTGTTCCTCAATAAATGTCTCCTCTGCCACTAGTTCTTTTCACTTGCCCACCTTATTCTCAGTCAGTACTGCTTGTGTTGGATCCCAGCCTCCATACTTCCACTTCTGTTTCCTTCCACAACTGCTAGTCCAAAGATCTCTCTCTTTTCCTTGCTCAGGGTCCCATCTACTTAGATAGTCCACCTACCTATTAAATGTCAGCCCCTGCCCCAAAGCATGGGAAGCCTAAAGCATTTCAAAGAAAAAAAATCTGTACTTCATTTAAAAAAAAAAGAAGAAAACCAATATATTTTTCAGTATTCTGATTCTCAGAACTGAATGAACTGGTCCGGCTGCAATTTAAAAAAAAACGAATGAATGAGTTAATAAATAAAGCATCACAATCACAACTTTCCACATAGACATCCAACATGTAGAATCTCTGCCTGAATAGGTAAAGTTTGGAAAAATTATAAGCAACTGAAAACAGGGTCATCTTCTGGGAAATGCCAGGCAACCTTATGATAAGAGAAACTGGCAGCACTAACCTTTTATAAGAAGAAATAATATTTAGTATTACATTTAGATTTCCTGTTTTGTTTCCCTCTTCTTAACATCTTGTGTCCTTTTGGTACTTTCAGCATCATCCAAAACATGTTCATGACCTCTAATAAACAGTACTAAGAATAGCCTTAGTTTTATGTCTGAGTGGTTTTGAATTTGTGTATGGGAGGTTGTGTTTAGACATCTTAAAATATCTTCACCAAGGAATCTTTTGTAGTCACAGAAATCAAAGCAGAAGCTCTCCACCACCCATGCCTCCCACTCAAACTCATTTGCAACTCTCCTTCCTACCTTCTTTGCATCTGATATGCATTTTACATTTGGAATTAAGAAAGAATCAAACACCAGTACAACTGCAAGTAAGAAGCACAGTGACAATGTGCAAGGCTAGCTATCAGCACATAATCATTTAAATTTTAAGTCACACGGAAGTCATAATGGTTACAGAAAGAAGAGGGGGTATAAAAATGTAGTCTAACAAGCCCTGTCATACGTGGAAGACTCAAAGAGTATTAAATAGGAAGCTTTGAAAACTGCAGTGGTTGATTGTTCTGTGTGTTCACAATAATCTGTATTCTTGTTCATTTACATTAATATTATCTAATAAAGACCAAACAGAAATAACTTCTGTTCAGCTAGTCTAGTGAAGTTGATTTGTTCTCTGTGGGCATGTCTACATGAGACACTATGTCACTGTAGCAACGTGCTATGGCAACATAGCATCAGTGGGCACAAACCATGATGCCACAGCCATGTTGCTGTAGTGATGCGCTCCCTCACTATAGTGCATCACTAGAGCAACGTAGTGGCTAAAAATAACTGTGCTGCTGGCACGGCATAGTAATGGCTGTTACTGTGCTGTCATTTACTATATCCTTTAGGTATTTCCTTCCTAAAGGAAGTGCTAAATGACAGTGCAGTAACAATAGCACCACAGGGGCACATGTAGATGCACCCAGTAGGTGGGTATACACATTCATTAATGCACTGTAGTTACTGCACATTAAGTTTAGTATATGCATAAGCAAGTACTAAATCAATGCACAGTAACTGGCACCTCCTGTGCAGTAGCGCTGGTGCATGGGTCTTCACTGATGCTAACTACCTAATTACTACTGCTCAGTACCGTATTAGTATAGGTGTTGCCCAGGATGCTACTGCACAGTGTTATTAGGCTTCTGTGCAGCTAGTGTCTCATGTAGATGCACCCTGTATGTACAGTGTGTACAAACTGTGTTGAGATTAAATCTGGTTATTCTGATCGCTAAAACAGAAATATATTTCTTGTTTCTTTTTTTATGAGGGGGCAAAACAAAACTGTTCATTCACTTTTCAACATGTTTAGATCAGATAGCTCAAAATTCATGTTTTAACAAGAATATTTGCTGTTTCTCAAGTAGTATAGATATGAAAATAATCCTCTGGTGGACACTTAATATCTTAGTGACAATCTGGGATTCCCCTGACTTTAGAGGCTGCCATAATTTTACCAGGATTGGTGCAGATAACAGTGATCTTAAGCTATTGTTGTCCCTTTTTGCTACCTTACTTACAGCCCAGATGCACCTCAAGATTTATTCTGGTCTGGAGCCTTATT